TACCTTCACTTGTAAAATGTGAAAAATTGATCGGTTTCATGTTTTTGGAAAAAAATTAGCGCTAACGCGAAAATTTAATGAGAAAATTATAATAGACGTTCAACGAAAGATGAATCAGTTTTCAGCGTTATTGATCTAAAATTCTCTTATTGATTTAAAATTCTCGTGACATGTTACAATTTTTTCATATTTTTTGTAACCAAAATTGTTTTTCCAACATTGTAATAATTTTATTCCTTGTAGTGTAAATATATAATTTGAAAAAAAGGTATGTTAGAATAAAATAAAATGTTAAAAATATTAGGAATTTTGCAAAAAAAAAGATTTATTTAATGCAATAGAGTTAAAATTGTAGCTCTTCATAAATTTTTAAGAAAAATTAAATAGTTGAAGTTTTATCTTTATTCTAAAATAAAAATTAATAAAATTGCTAGAATAAAAATTGCCTAAAAAATGCAATATTCATCGAAAAATATAACCGAATAAAAAATACATTCAAAGAGTACACAATAAATTGTAATGTACTTCCGTACACCTAGATGGTGAAGAATAAAAGGATTAAGGTTAACGATACCGAGATGTGCATGAAACCTCAATTTCGTCGGTAAATCCTTCTTCGCGGCAAGAAACCGAAGAAAGCTCTCTGCTGCTGCTCAAAGAAATTGAGCAAAATGTACGATCGGAGGATTTGAAATTTTCCAGCCACGACTGGCTGCTGTACCCCTAAACATTTACAACCCCTAAGCTGTCTGCGCTGAACTTTTCCACGGACGTGACTTCGGATTTCATCGCCGTTTTCATCCTCTGCGCCACGCGATGCTATCTCCACACAGGACGGAAAAGTTTAAAATCTCAAGTTTACAGAAGATTTCAAGGGAAAAGGGAATATAAACCGTAAACTAATCGAATATAAATAATATTTTTTAAATAAATCCAATTTCTAAATAAATTTTAAAATTTTGAAAATAAGTACAGTTTGATTATTCAAAATATTAGAGATAAAGTCTTTCTCTCTTTTGGTAATTTGAAATTTTAAAAAATTTGTTAAAAATATTAATATGCCGAATCACAATTTATATATTCTCTCATTTAAATTTTTATTTACTTTTCATTTAAATTCAATGCGTCAAAAGCCGATTACATGAATCACTTTAATAAACGATTCATATATTTTTTCTTCATTTCCTTCTTTCAGCTTCTAACTTATGGATATAAATTATTCCTCCGTGATCATATTGAATTTAATTAATTCTACTTTCGAGCGTAATCAATAAAATTTTCATCAATTGGTACTTCATCATCCTGCCTTTATTTACCAATGAAATTTAATTAATCATGGATGCTGTTCATACATTACCTTTTATTGATTTTAGCTTATCCTCACTAATATACATTTATATATGTATATTGAAAGTATTAAACGCATTCTCTCCTGAAATCAAATATCACAATTGACCATTGTAAAAACGCGCATACATTAATTAATCTGTCTCTTATGATTAGTACTATTCTTTTGCTGCCATAAAGGTCGCGATCCTTTTCCAGAATGAGAAATGAATTTGCATCACATCACGAGCAGATACACAACGAACGCCATATACACTGCGGTACAGCGCGGTTGGCCGAAAAGGACGGAAATTTAGCCAGCAAAATGATGGACGTGCGCGCTCTCGCTCGTGTATTTGAATAAACGTCGACGGCAGATGATGTAAACCCGCGGGCTTGCATATGCGCGAGCTGTAAATTTGTCAGGCACACCGAGTATGCGCTACGGCGCATCGTTGACATTGTGTCATCAGAAAAATGGAGGCATATCCCATAGTCAGAGCGAGACTGCGATTTGGAAGAACGACAAAAAGGGACTCCGAGAAAATAAACCAAAGTATATGAGCGAAGTGAAGCGTATTTTTTCCAGGCAACGCACATTTGAATTGGTAATTTAGACAAAAAATCTCCGTATTTCTTTTTATGTCTTTTAATTTCTAAAATCTCGCTCTCTATATATTCCAGAAAATCATATGTGCATCACGTATGACCATATATGTCAATATACTCGTATATTAATAGTAATAATCGTATGAATAATAATAATTCAATGATAACCTGATAACAATATTTTCTGTCAACCGAGAGAAATAAAAAATATCATGCGGGAGAATAAAAAAATAGATAGAATCTTCACTATTTTGCATAAACTACATGTTTCGCATTAAGAATCTACTTTCTCGACTTTCTAGAGGAGATATATATTTTAGCATTTCAAAACTTTCTCAAAAGTTCCAAAAGTATGCAGAATCATGTCGAAATATTTTATAAAAATACCCAGCGATATTTTTCTAGGAAAAAAAGATAAGAATATCGATATTGAAATAGTTGATACAACGCTCGCGAATTCATAAACGACTGTCAAATCGAGCGCGAGTGAGATTACGATCGCTGAACTACAGTTGGCGAAAAGTGAAAACTGCATATGGCTTTATTATGTAAAGCTATCGGGCAGATGAAAATTACATGGTGCAGAGAAACTACAACGTAGGAAACTACTATGCAACGCACGAAAACGTCGAATGTATAATCGTTTCGTGAAGTATAAAGCAAGAAAAAAACCAAAAGAAACAGAAATCACATCAATATGACGGACGTCTAATGGTCGTTAGTGAAAGGAAATTGCAGACGATAAAGACGTATAATTAAGATGCCATGGCGTATATTAAACATAAATGATAAAATATCTCGCTTAGAGAATATTGACATGTTCTCCAATCTCGTTGATCTCAAATATATTCCTTCATATAACTTTTTAAAGTACGAGTTATATTGAATTTTCCGCGTTAATGTAATAACTTATTACTTTAAGTCATTTTTTAAAAGAAAGAACGCGTTTATATTATATTATATGCGTTTATAATTAAGTTCTTTTATTTATTATTTCCTTAGTAAACTCACTTATCACTAAAGCATCGTGAATTAAAATTCTTCCTATCGTGATTGGAGATATTATCTTAAATTTATTTTTCTTTCTAAATTAATTGTAAAAACGTGGAGTTATTTTAAAATTATTGTGGAAAAAAAACTATTTGTACTTTTATTATTAACCGATATTTTACCAATTCTTTTTGATCAATATTTCTCGAAAATATTTCGTTTTTATGGTCGTAACGGTTGTATAATTCAACGTTTGCGTATTTATTATTTTCCGAGTATCACATCGTAAAAATGTAGCGGCACGTGTATTATGACGAATTCAAACATTCCGAGAGATAAATATTGACTGATATTTATTCCGAACGCGACAACACGATGCGCTAAGGATAGATGTACGAGAATCGCTTGACGATTGTAAACTTTAGCTGACGCGCACACGTTGCCAGTCGGCATAAAATAGGAACATGCGCAACAATATGCATTGCACTTGTATCGTTACAACGTGCAATTTCAATATTTTTGTCGTATTTTATACCAGCGTTACTTGTTCTACAGTAAAGTAAAGTGAAGTAATAAAAAGAATCGAAGCAAGAAAATTGCACGATATTTTTGTGCTTATAAAATTATAGCTGTATCATATTGAGATAATAATGCGGCAACTTTCTAATAACATTTAATGCGCTAAATCTAAATTAAAGGTTTGATTTTTTACTTTTTCAAATGTTCGACTGGAAATAAAACTTATTAAAATTTTACAAATTTTACATCGTTTCATTGAATAACGAAATGATATTTCAGTATCAAAAAATTGTGTAAAAATACTCGATTTAGGAATTATTTCTCGACATTTAAATCGTTTCATTAAAAGATACTGATACTGTCAATAAAGTAATATGTCATAACATATTAATTGGTTGACTGTAATAATCTTAAATCGGGTATTAATTAATTTAATTGAATAATATTCCAAAATTACATGATTAATAATTAATCGTTAGCTCTAATAATTCACACTGTATATTAATCACGATTATTCCTCGATTATTACTCGGTAATCATAATATTGAGCTACTTTGTATTCTACTTGTTAAAATAATCGTAATCATTAATTCGCTTAATTTTTTACCCAATTATTTTCAATTAACGCGTGTCTTCGAAGTAACATCATTATGCCGATTCGCGCGCGATAATTAGCAAAGAAAATCGCATCACTCAGGACTGTTTCATTTGATGACAGCTGAACGCGTCGTCGCGCAAATTACACCGCGAATGCTGATTCGCTGTTTCCTAAAGAAACGACACGTCCCGATGGGTTCGAAACTATGTTAAGACGAAGGCAACAGAGCTTCGAATCGAAGTGCGCGTCCTTAAAGGTCGCCGTCGCTTCGTTGCACTTCGAGAATCTCTCCTGGCCGGGACAAAATTCGATTACGAACGACTTTAGTCGAAGAGATGTGCTACTTAGCAAAAGACGGGAACCGAGGAAATAGCGCCGCGCACTGTATCGACAATATTGTGCGACGAATAAGAGAGCGAACACATATAAACATGCATGTATCAGCTCCGAACTATAAGTTTTTATTAGTCTAATAAGATAAACGCGACTTCGTACGAAGCATTAAGATAATAATTAAGAAAATTTAAAATTCCGAAATAAAACTATAAAATTACAGAAATTTCTATTCTAGATTATAAAAAAATAATAATATACATCCTATCTAAAATTTTAAATTTAGAAAATTTGAGAGAGTACAACAATTTTTAAATCCTACCGGATAAATAGAATTACATATTCTCACATCAGATGATTAATTTTTAAATTAATATAATAATAAATCCTTTCATAAGTCAAAGAAAATATATATAATAGTTTGTGTGTAAATTTATGTAAATTTAATTGATAGGGGATTAACCAAGAAGTAAGAACGAATTTTAAACTTTACTCTCGCATTGATTGGATGAAAAAATCACAACTAAATAAACAGATATTTAAATAAATATAAATATAGAATATGAGATTACGAAATTACGCACAAACTATATTTCAAACATACAATTCGTAAGAAAAGACTTACTTTTATGGCGGGAGAATCTACGGAGCTTCTTAAAAAATGGCATGTTTCCTCACGATGTTAGACGTCGTTGTCGTTTTATAAATTTCAGCAGCTACGTCCGTCGTTGAAATAATCTTGATGTACAATCGATTGCTATTTACGAACCACGTTCACCGACTGATGAGATTGTAAGAAATAAATGGAAGACGACGATCTTGAAAAGGCCCGTGTGTTGCTTGGCGCGCGTATGACGCGTATGTGCATCGCACGCTCTCATGAAGTTTACCACTTCTCCCCCGCGGCGGACTTATACGCGTTACGTCACATTTTTTCTTATCCCCTCTTCTCCCCTCTTTTCACGTCGCGATCTCGATCAACGATCGCTACAAGTACGTTTTGCTCCGAGAATAATACAATGCTAATAAAAAGATAGTTTTCAATGTGAATGATAGTTATTTTTATAATTTTTATCAAAACTTTATTTAAGACTAAACTTTACTTAACTAAGCTTTCGAAAATAATGTTAACAGATTCACATTATTTAAAATTTTCCAATTTAATACATAAAAAGATATTAATATATATTTCTTCGATTCTTTGTCTTTATATTTCATCTTTATAAAAGATATTTTTATTGTCACAATTATATATCTTTATAAAAATCTTTTAGTCTGTTTCTCTACTTTAATAACAGAAATAAAGATTTATATAAAATTAATTTATAGAATTTAAATTATTTAAATAATCGGGATATCAAAAAATAAAAGATAAAAGATATGTCAAATACGCAAAAAATTGCAATTAATAAAATAAAAAAATAAAAAATTAAAATAAAAATAAAAAATAAAAAAAAATTAGGATATATACGTTTGATGTTTTTTGATCATAAAATAAAAATTTATCACTCACCCGAAGCCGATTCATAACAGCGCAGAGTTGATTACATTGAGAAGCTACGTTGATCTGTAACATATAAATATATGACTCAAATTATAATAAAGCATAAAATAACCAATATTTCAAAAAATTATAAAATTATACATAAATTTTGATTCCCCATTTAATATAATATAAATATTTATATATATAATAAAATAAAAAGAATATATTTCTTAAATATACACTTCTTAAGTATATATAAATGGAATTACAACTTTTACAAACGTTTATATATATAATTCTTTTAGTTAAATTATTTAAATTATTCAAATTAATAAATAACAGATAATGAATAACAACAAATATATAAATAATAAATTATCCTAAAGCAGTCCTCAATACCTTCTAGGTCTGCTCCTCCTCTCTCAGATTATCAAAATCATCAGGTTCGCCAGGATCATCAGTCTGTTAACTCACACGCGCGAAAAATGGCACTTCCGCATTTAAACGCAAAACTTTTTAGATGGTATCCACTTGGAAATGAGATACTTAAAACGACATTCTTATATTTTACGCGACACTTTACACAGCAATTCCGAAAAAAGATAACAATGAAACGGATCTTATATAGGGCTTAAAAAACCGTTAAACGCGTTTAGATACTTGGCTTCTCCTTTAGGATAAATCTTCTGGGTACTGAGTCCTTCCAATCTCCAACTTCAAAGTGTATCCATTGAGAGAGTTTCGGAGAAAGAAAAGCCAATAATGCACTTGTTTTGCCGCTATAAGATATTAATTATAAAACATATTATATTATATGTACAAGATTATGAAATATATTATATTGTAATTAATATATTATATTAATATATATATATATATATATATATATATATATATATGAGAGCAAGAAAGAGAGAAAGAGAGAGAGAGAATGCCTATTTTCTTCAATATACAGACAATTATTTAGACATTAAATCCATTGTTTTTATCATGAATTTAAAAAATGCAAGCACAAATCGTTAAAAAATAATTATCACTCAAATAATTAATATAAATATGTAACGGAAATATTTTCTATTATTCTGATTTTTATATTAAATATAATAAATTACGCTCTCTCTAAAAATATTTATTTGATAAATAGCTAGCTTAATATATTTGCGAATCTTTAATCGCGGTGTTGATTAATCATAAACATTAATAATTATTAACTTATAAAAAATAATCGCATGAAAGGAACAACATATAGAATTGATTGTACTATTATCTGCTATACGAATACTATATACGCACGTATATGCAACATATACAAATATTAAGGTTTTCAGTCGATTTATTATTGAAAATATTATGATATTTTATACCGAATAACGCTTTATGAAATAATTTTATCCTTTTATGAAATATTTTGTTTCTCTCGCATTTCTGATTAATTTTAATAAACAGCTCGGTACATAACGGCTTTTCATTAACTTTGATTATTTGATTCAATGATTTGTGTATTATTCCACGTTTTATATATATGCATGTATTAATTATTTTTGTTATCTGATTTATCCAGCAAATAAATTTTTTTATGTATATTATTTCACTATCTCAATTCGGAAATAATAATGATAATAATAATGATAATGATATGTAAATTACCGAAATCACCTAAAAAAAGATTAGATTAAAGAAGCGATAACTAGACAAATGCAAATCAATAAGTACATCATTAAAAAATTTGCCGTAAATACAACGCAATAAATTTAAATTCTTGACTTTTATTTCCAACGAATGACTCACATGATAGATATGCTTGGAAAAATAATCACATCGTTCTTTGATGCATCTACGAATCAACAATAGTTAAAGTTAAGTAATCAATCAAATTACTAATTACACATAAAAAAAATAATCATTATTTTCTTTTGATATTTATTGCGATTGTATTGAATCATATGAAACATAAAATCACTGAAGACTTGTTTAAAAATTATTTTTTTTCAATAGATGACAAACCATCAAAGGTATTAAAGATAAAATTCAGATATGAATAAAATGAATGACGTAAATTTTGAATATATCTGATTTCTTCTGCGATTTTACATCGGGATATATCTGATACAATTTATATATTAACTGACAATTGACTGGCAAACAAATAATTTAATATATACATTTAGTATATTTTTTAACATACTCGGTTTCCTTTATGATTGTATAATAATTTTTTATTAATTTATATATTTTTCTAAATTCTATTTTTAAAAAAAATTATTAATTTGGATGAGAAAGATTTTATTTTTGAAAAGAGTTAGATATCGGCTATTCAAAATGTCTTATGTCTTATGTCGATACGATCTATTGAGCGTTCAGAACTTGAGAATTGTCATCGGCCGTCGTATTATTCGCTTCAGTAGAAGATTCGACAAGAACCACGCAATCGTCTTACGACGTAAATAGAAAGGCAAAGAGAAAAGGAGCAGAAATTGAACAGCTCCATCGGCAGTCGCAGCTTCAATCTCGATTCCTCTTATCTGTCTTTAGTAAGATGGTTAGCCGCGGTCAGGTCAGCTTAGGTCGCTATCCTTCGGATATTCGTGGATCCGTTTACTTTACAGCGGACTTTCAGATGCTCGAAAATCACGAACTCGACAGAAGAAACTCGATGAAGATAATGAGGGAAAAAGAGAGAGAGAGACAAATATAAAAGTAATTGTTGAGTGGGACCGCGAATAATTGGCAGGAAAACTCAATTAGCTTGCCATTGCGACTTTGTTAGTTGTCGGAAAGTTCAAGCCCGAAAGGTTGCACCAAAACGGAACAGAAAAGAGGCGTCCCTGACCGAGCAGTTCGAACACGGCATTTCTATAAAAGCGCTTTTCCCTAGCTTAAAACCTAGAAATCGTAGATATCTAATGACGAGATATTTACCGGTTCAAAGATTTTAAATTTGTGCAATTTAAGTCTCATATATCTGCATATTACGTCATTCGATTCGATGTACAAAACTTGGTAAAGCGCTTGTAAATAAGCATAAAGTGCAATTTGGTAGTATAATTAACTTAGTAAGGAAAGGACACGAGAAGCAGATGTCACATTTCTAGTTGAAAACAGGTGCTTGAGTTTAAACTTGTCGAGTTTACGAAGCGAGACTTTCTACATAATATGCTTTTGATTAAAGTGTAGCATCATTTTAGATTAATATTGAACAATGTTGAAGAAATTTTGTGTTACTAATTAGAGAAACATGTCTATCATCTATTTTTTCCGTTATCAATCTACTTTTTTCAGTTATTAAAGTATAATTGCGAGATGTTTGTAAATAAAATATATATTTAATGATGAATACATAATATGTTTTTCATATGTTTTATAACTAACTTATGAGTATATAATTATAACGTGAATTTATTTAACACTTTTAATATGAGTTCTGAAACTTTTACATACATAATTTGTAGATAGAAAAGATATAAATTTATTCGTATAAATTAAATCTAATATTTTTTATATATATTTAATTATATGTAATATGTAATATTACTTTCTAAATATGTATTATAATTCTATGCTTTAAATATGATAAACTTGTCATAATATTTTTCAAAGAGAAAGATACTTAATTTTAATTAAAATCCAAGTATTTTTATTTATAGTATGTATTTGCACTTTGAAAATGAGATATTACATGAAATTCGACAACGAGGAGGAAGTGCACTCTCTTCAAATATCTGTATAAAAGCAAAACTTTTTCTCATAATCGTTAAAACGTCTCGTTCTGTCGACGCTTTTAAAATAAGCAACTCCCGCAGCGTCTTTTCGCCGCATCGAATCGCTTATAGAAAATGAGTTCAAGTTTCTCGAGAAAATCCAGTTCCGGGACGAAGTTAAGGCTTTGCCCTTTCCATATCTAACTTCTAGTACACGTTTGCGAACTGGGAGTCGATTAAAATTCGCAAGGAAAGAAACTAACATTCAGGTCCGACTGGAACTCAAATCACTTGCAAACGTGCGTTAAACCAGCGATTATTCTACCAAGTCGAGAGAAGAAATCATGTGCTCTCACAGATTTCATTAGAACTCTCGTTAAGAGAAATTTGAATATTATCTGGTTGAAACATGTGTTTTATGTCACATTCGTTCACATAAGCGAAATAGAATGATAACACTCCTATTAAGCTGATTACCCAACCATTGTCAAATAAAATCGCACTTACCAAAAAATGTAGTGCTATTTATGTTAATTCGGATATTTTGCTTTAATCCGAATTTTCTTATTCGCAAAAATTTATAAAGAGCTTAAAAGAATAAAAGAATATCGAGTATACTAAAATTTGTTGATCTCAAGATGGTGTAAAAATCATTTGGAAAAATTATGTTGTTGATTACTCTACTTTATGTAGAGTAAAAATAATGAAAAACATAGTAATAAAATCATATATTTAGTACTTTTAGAATATCAATATAATTGTTAATTTTAATGTATAACATCAATAATGCGTAAAAAAAGTTTAAATAAGTTAGAAAAATTAGAAAAATTTGTTGCTCTTACATTTTTTACATCATAATGTTCTTTTATTTAATAATAATGTAATAATGTAATAATATAATAATGTATCTTTCCCCCTCATTCGGAATATGAATTTTTGCTAAATAGTTCAAACAACTAAATTAAATTACAAATTACAACAAATTAAATTACAAATTAAATTACAAATTACAACAAATTAATACAAATAAAACTAAATAGAATTAAATTTTCTGATAATATAAATCTGATAACATAATATGATTTTATTTGGCAACGAAGGAGAGAGGCAGCTTAATGAAGGAAATGATAGCAATCAATTTTCATTGCGCGGTTACATCCTATTATGCTCTTTTGCGTACGTATGTAATCTTTATTACTTTTCGTCAAGAAGAATAAATGTTTTACATTAATTAAAAAAACAGAAATGTTTTATATTATTATTAATTTATCTTATTATTAATTTCAAACTAATGACTTTGTAAATAAAGCGAATGTACAAAAGAGATTCATTTATAAAATTAAGCTTCGATCTGCGTATGTATCTTTTGACATTTGCGAAGCATGCTCTCTGCCCTGGACAGTTCGATAACACTCTACGCAATTAACTAATTGCAATTTAATTTGGCAATCAGTTTTAGCGATTTAATTGAGCGATCTTGTAAAATCAACCGGAATTAAAATCACAGATAACGAGCACAGATGATCAAGACGAGCGTATAAAACAATATACTGTATTCGCAAGTCCAGGAAATTTTAAATCTGTATTTTTATCAGTGTTAATTTTTAGCGCTGAAATCAATTTTATCCCAATATTAAATATTGCATTTGAAGTAATAAAGAAAAAGAATTATGTTACACTACATTTTTTCCCTTTTCAATTTTGTAATATAAGGCTATAATTGATGATATATGATACTAAAATAATAATATAACAAAAGTATAACATACTCTTTACAATTAAAATAATATAAAAAAATAATAGGTTAAAATTTAAAAAAATAAGATTAAATAAAATTTTCATGAAAATTTCCTATTTACATGATCGGATTTACTGGATTTGCAATAAAAATACGTGACTGTTTTATAATAAGTAAGTATTTATATATTTCTCAAAAAAAAATGTTGCCAATATACAGCATGAGAACATAAGTGAAAGTCGTCTATCATAGTTTTGACACAAGAAAACTCCGAATTGCCATGGCAAAACGATCTTTCGTGAAAAAGAAGTCTCGAAACGCTCGACACGTTCCTGACGACAAA